TATATATATATATATAAAATATATATATATATTTATATATATATATATATATAGCTGATATATATATATATGGCTGATTAATAAACATAAAGAAACGATCACGAAATGAACATTAATAATTATTGTTAACCTGGTATGTAGTAAAGAATTATTTATGCAAAGATATCAAATTTATACTGATATCTTTTTCTTTCTATAATAACAATTAAATTTACGACTACCAAGCACTCAGGACCGATTATTAAATGGACTATCAAACGTCCGCGATTGATTATCAAACATGAGAAAGCTATCACCAAATGAATGGTAACAGTTAAAGTTAAGTAGGATGTTGTGAAAAGTGATTTCCAAACGAGGAGGGGCCAACTTCACAATCGCATACTCTACTTTTCTTAATACATACTTAATATATTCTTAATACATATAACAGCTATATTTTAGACTAACAAATGTCCGCGATGGACTATCAAAATGTAAAAAGCGATCACCAAATGAGTGGTAACTGTTAAAATTAAGTAGAATGGAAATAAATTGTCAGAAGAGGGGGGCCAATTTCACACTTGCATATCATTTTCCTCCTCCTCATAACAACTGTTTTCTCGACTATTAAACGTTCACGATGGACTATCAAATGTTAGAAAGCGACCACTAAACGAATGGTAACTCAAACGGTAAATCAAAATTATCTCGAATGTTTTGGAAAGGTATTTTGAATAAGGGTGGGGAGGCTAACTTTACTGCATATTTTATTTTTGCGATACCTTTTGTAATTTTAACTACCAAATATCCGGTGGTGAAGGAGCCAATTTCACACAACTGCAAACACGATGCATTAGAACGTCAAGTGACGTACTAAAAACGTACTAATGACACGGATGTCATTATTACGTAATGATATTTGCTGAATATTTACGCTAACAGTTAAAGATGTTACTTTAAAATTTGTAGTCATTTTTGACACATATTTAGTAATGTTTAAATTTATTTTTACACATACATTCACTGTAAAAGCATTTATAATTCTGTACAACTAACAAGATGTAAACTTTGCAGGAAAGGTCAGTATTCAATAGGTAAAATTTGTAAGTATGGCATTCGCTTAATAACTATTGCAATATTTGTAAAAAATTAAAAATGTCTTGTAAGGCGTATTTTTTACAATACTAAGAAATCTAGATATTCAATACATTATATATATATGTATATATAATCAGAATTGATACATATAAACTATGTCTTATATAATTTATTTAAATTCTATCACACAATTTGGTAAGGCTTGCGCAAGTTCTTTTCTAAGCAAAACTTTATCGTCTAAATATGGCATACCAGCTAGTTTTAATGTCTTCAGATTTCTGTAATACATAAATAAAGAACTTAGTGTGTTGTTTAAATATTATATTTCGTTAATTTAAAGATACTAAAAATATCTATAACTTTTAATTATATTATAAAGAAAGTTACAATCAATATGAAATACATACTTCAAATTTTTCAAGCTACGCACTCCTTTATCAGTTATACTCTTGCAATCTCTAATTTCAAGAGTAGTTAAAGTATCTTTCACTATCGACAATAACGATAATGCAGTGTCATTTATATAAACACAACGTATAAGTTTTACATCATCAATATACCTGCAACCATCTATGAATTTTTGTACAAATGTACATAGAAAATATATAAGATTTCTTCATATTACGTAGCTACAAAATCGATATAATGTATGGAAACTTATTTAATATCATATACAAGCAAATTCTGAACAAACAATAAAAGAAAGAAAAGTTTTTGACGTTCTTGGTTGTAGCATAAAATATAATTTACATTTGCTTAATTCCAAATAGTTGAATTGAGTTCTTTCTAATATTCTATTATAGCAAGTATTATTTTGTTCACAAACCAAATTATCATAAATATATTTCAATTTATTCTTGCTTGGAATACATTATTGCCTGATAAATTATGATAGTTGCTTTATTGCTTACAATACTAACCAAAATGAGGAAATCCCACATCAGTAATCCCAGAATTTGTAGCATCTACGGCTTGTATGTAATATCGAGTTTCTTCTGTTGACAAATTATTATAATCACTCAAATATTTTGTGAAGCCTTTCCACCGAACACTGGCACCATTTCTCAAAAGCCATTCGGCACAGGCACGGTCTGGACCAACTGACTGAATTCTTTCTTTGTCAACTCTAGAAATAATAATTTTGAAAATTATGTATAGCAAACTAACAATATCGCAATTATAATGTATGCACAACAATATTTATAAATGTCATTTAGTACTTATTGAATATTATAGTTAGCCAATAAAAAAATCCTCTGCTGGGAAGTTTTCTGCAATGATTGATGGTAGCATACAGTCCATTTAATATCTGTAATATCACATTTACATAATACGCATAATAAATTTGCAAGTTTATATTTATAGATCATCTCATATTATTGTTTAAATGTAAGAATCAAAAACTGCGATTCAACATAAATTTCACTAAATGATGTACTAAAAGATGATATAACAGATGACACATATAATAAAAAACGTAACAAGTGCAACAATGATACCGTACGTGTAGCGTCATTATTATAAAAGGTAATCTTACAATTAAGTTTAGGGAGTAGTCAACTAAGAACTTCGGGTTGATAGTAGCGACACCGTTTAGAACGGCAAAAGGATGAACTAAAGACCATATCAGACTGCGGATTAGGGATTGGAATTGCGGATTAGGAATTGATTATTCAATGACACTATGATTGCAATCTGGATTGCAATTGAGTTACCATGAATTCACAAACATAAAAGTGACATATTAGGGAAGCAAATAATCGAAATATCATTAAATGAAGAAATATTAATAATCTTTTCTTGCTATTAATAATAGCAGAAAAGGAAGAAAAACGTAGGAAGAACCGTATATGGAGTCATAATCTCTTAAGAAGAAAAGAGAAATGAATCGTAATTTCCTACTTGAATTAGTTTTCGAAGATCTAAACAGATTCAGAAGATAAGAAATGCATACTGTTAAAAATAATTACGCTTCTAATTAGTTTCACGATGGCATACTCAAGTAATCAATTAATTTTTTGCACGATTAGAAATATAAGATCTTTCTCGCATATATCATTTATCAATAAGTTTTGCCATATGTATAAAATTTTCCTATTCCTAGGGACATTTGTACACAGTACATTTATTATACTAGTCCACACTAAACTNCGCATATATCATTTATCAATAAGTTTTGCCATATGTATAAAATTTTCCTATTCCTAGGGACATTTGTACACAGTACATTTATTATACTAGTCCACACTAAACTTCATAGAGATATAAGAATAGAGGGAACAAGGGATATATGCTACCTGTAAGTGGAGGTGATAGAGGTCAAGAGAGAGATGGATGCCAAGTGTCCTATCTGTCTCTTTCTAGTCGAGCGCTGTGATTGGTTGTTACAATGAGTCACCAAGCCGACCACGCGACGTCAGGAGGGGAGAAAGCAGACTAAAATTTTATTTTGCAAATATGCGTGCACATGTGTGTAGAATTAAAATTCGTTAAATATTCGAACGTTAGCAAAATAATAATTGGACGCGATTTGTTTAAAAATGAGGCATTGTTTGAAATGCAAGGAGTCTTATCCTGGATATAATGCGGAATCTTATCCTGGATATAACCGCAGTTTTCACTCGTAGGAAAGTACAAATACGTAACCTCAAATAATTATATGTTATTTTTTCCTACATTTAAAAAAATATGTAAATGTTGTAGGCTACCGAAGGATGTAGATATAAGGCGTAAATGGTTGAATATAATTCAACTATCTTTGTATTTTGAAGTGAAAACAGCATATATTTGCAGTGATCATTTTAGCAATGACATTTTGTTTGAATTGGATGGAGAAAAATGTATAGCTATATCGTCGTTGGCGCGGCAGCCAATCCCAGCGCGTGACTAGAAAGAGACAGATAGGACACTCGGCATTCATCTCTCTCTTTGCCTCTATGACTTCCATTTACAGGCTTGTTCCCTCTATTCTTATATCTCTATGCTAAACTCATCGATATACTCAGCGACTGTTGGCTCATATTGTGGAAATATCAAGAAAATAGCATGAAGTCTAAATTCCAATATATACTTCCAATCGTAGCCTACAAAATGTTGATTGTTTGAGTTCCATGTTCATTCTGATATCCAAACTCATCTTTCAATTTCAATCCATAGTGTAATGTTACGTCCACGATAGATAACTATATAGGGAAATTTGAAAGTAGTAAAATCAGTGACTTAGGTGGACGGTCAACAGAGTGATGACTCCGCTTTTGGGTCACTCTGCTTTTCACCGAGTTTACCCTAGGTCTCCGGAGTTTGGCGAAACGATCGATGAATCTGGCGAGAAATCAGAGCCGCTAGTTCTCCTGGCTCGGTCTCGGACGTTCCGGCGCTGCGCGGGATGATGCGGCCCGTGATTCCAATTTCGATTTCGCAACGTTCGAGAAATGAGGGGTAGACAAAAATAATTGCTACACAGTCGGATTTTACAACTAATATATTCCAAAGTATATAAGTACACAAATACCAAAGGCTAATTACGAGAAAAGAAATCGCCTTCTCAACGAATGCGCACGTTTTTATATGTCGCTTTATCGCTGAGAATTGTTTTCTGGTTGGCTGATGGAGTCGTGGAGATGGAAGAAATTCATTCCATCGGTATCATGTCACGGCGTCGATATCGCCGTGTCGGTTCTGAGTGGTGTTTGGATTTAGTTTTCATGCTCCTGTTTATGTTAGTAGCGGGGTGCCTTATCGCATTGAGAGATTACGATTTCTCTTGTCTATAATTGATCCGTCGATTTTAAGACTCTCTAACGACACGCAGTATTCGGAGTTATAATTTTAATTATAATATTTAACGAATATACATATGCGCACGTACTTACGTCTAGTAATATAGGGATAAAATATCTATATCTAGTGAATATCTAACCTAGTGATGTCTGAAATCAGACAAATCGGCCTCCGATCTGTACTAATATATTATTAATGTTCCAAAATAAGTCCGAACGTTACAGAAATAATGATTTACAATTCCAATCCAGACCTGTTGTGACTTTATTAATCGATTCCCAGTCCCCAATCCGTAATCCCAATCTCTAATCCATAGTCTGATATGGACATAACAGAATGCGCCTAGCAAGTGCTACAAATGCTTTGAAGTATTTTGACTTTTGCTCACAGGATGCGGCAATGCTTACCGTGCGATGGAAGTTCGCGTGGTAAGTCAATAAACTCCTAATTCTTATCGAAAAACGGAATGTTGATTGGTTACCACGCGAACTTCCGCCGCGTGGCAACTATTGCCGCGTCTTGTAAACAGAAGCCATTTCCCCTTCTTCGGGTGCATTCGGGGAGACGCTATTAGCACTGTTTAGCGCTAAATGTTGTTCACAGAGCTAGAAGATAGTATTAACAAACGCAATCATGACGTCGCTAGTGGTTGTATTTTACATAAGAATGTCGCACTACAAACGCTATTTTTTACGATATAGTGTAATGGTAGCGTAATGGCTTCTGCCCACCGGACGCAATAACGCTTGCCGCGCGGCGAAATTTGCGCGGTAGCCAATAAACTTCTTACCGAAAAAGGGGATAATGATTGACTACCACACGATATTTTGCTGTGTGGCAAGAAGTAGCCAATTAACGTGCCGTTTTTCCACAAGAATTGAAAGTTTATTGGCTGCCGCGTCGCTTATTGCCACGCGGCAAGCATTTCCGTGTCCTGTGAGCATAAGCCATTAGTGTTTGTAAGCTCCGTAAACACCTAGAAGTGCATAATATTGCTGCTGCGTTCTCATTCACGCGCTGTAAGCGTCATTCTATCTTTATTGTTTATTATATGCCAAAAGAAAATAGTGTCACGTCCTACCATAGAGATATAAAAATAGAAGGAACAAGGGATATAAGCTACCTGTAAGTGGAAGTGATAGAGGTCAAGAGAGAGATGGATGCCGAGTGTTCTATCCATAGAGATATAAGAATAGAGGAAACAAGCCTATAAGTCGAAGTGATAGAGGCAAAGAGAGAGATGGATGCCGAGTGTCCTATCTGTCTCTTTCTAGTTGAGCGCTGTGATTGGTTGTTACAATGAGTCAACAAGACGACCACGCGACGTCAGGAGGGGAGAAAACAGACTAAAATTTCGNACGCATAGAGATATAAGAATAGAGGGAACAAGCCTGTAAGTGGAAGTCATAGAGGCAAAGAGAGAGATGGATGCCGAGTGTCCTATCCATAGAGATATAAGAATAGAGGGAACAAGGGATATATGCTACCTGTAAGTGGAAGTGATAGAGGCAAAGAGAGAGATGGATGCCGAGTGTCCTATCTGTCTCTTTCTAGTTGAGCGCTGTGATTGGTTGTTACAATGAGTCAACAAGACGACCACGCGACGTCAGGAGGGGAGAAAACAGACTAAAATTTCGTTTTGTAAATATGCGTGCACATGTGTGTAGAATTAAAATTCGTTAAATATTCGAACGTTAACAAAATAATAATTGGACGCGATTTTAAAAATGAGGCATTGTTTGAAATGCAAGGCGGAGTCTTATCCTGGATGTAACCGCAGTTTTCACTCGTAAGAAAGTACAAATACGTAACCTCAAATAATTATAAGTTATTTTTTCCTACATTTAAAAAAATATGTAAATGTTGTAGGCTACCGAAGGATGTAGATATAAGGCGTAAATGGTTGAATATACTTCAACTACCTTTGTATTTTGAAGTGAAAATAGCATATATTTGCAGTGATCATTTTAGCAATGACAGTTTTTTTGAATTGGATGGAGAAAAATGTATAGCTATATCGTCGTTGGCGCGGCAGCCAATTCCAGCGCGTGACTAGAAAGAGACAGATAGGACACTCGGCATCCATCTCTCTCTTTGCCTCTATCACTTCCACTTACAGGTAGCATATATCCCTTGTTCCCTCTATTCTTATATCTCTATGGATAGGACACTCGGCATCCATCTCTCTCTTTGCCTCTATGACTTCCACTTACAGGCTTGTTCCCTCTATTCTTATATCTCTATGCGTCCTATCGAGTGTCCCAACCATATAGTGATTTTCTTTTTTGCGTAATTCTATCCAGAGGGCTAATAATCCTATTTGTACACAATACATTTATTATACTAGTCCATATTATACTAAACCCATCGACATATTCGGCGACTGTTGGCTCATATCGTGGAAATCAAGAAAATAGTATGAAGTCTAAATTCCAATATATACTCCCAATCGTAGCCTACAAAATGTTGATTGTTTGAGTTCCATGAAATACCCCAACTACTTTGTTCCCTTATTCAATGGCAAGAGCTATCTCGTAGGAACAAAGCTAGAGGGTGTTTTTAAGAGTCAGGACACATCTTAAAAAGGAGTTCACAGAGCTCGGCAGTCAGTCAAGTCGTCCGTAGTAATTCGAGTCAGTCAATCGACGACACACTTTCCAGCCTTCAGCATGAGCTAAGGAGCTCTTCTAAATATTAAATTTATTTAATCTACTTTTAATTCTCCTTAATATTCTGCAAACTCATTTTATACTACTTCGACTTCG